GCTTTACACAATTGATGTATGTATGGATTGTGGTAGGGGTTATATGAGCCTCTAATAAAATGATTTTTTTAAAAACCAATCCAGAAATTATAGTAAAAATTTTCAAACTCATTGCTGTGCATTTGATGCTTAGAACTGCCCTGTGAGTTTCAGAGACTGTAACTCTTTTTGAGAGTAGAAAGCTTCATCTTTCTCTCAGAAATTACAGAGATGATAGAATTAGTAGACAGGCACTTTCCTCCAGTAAATATAGCCATATGCCAGCTATACATGAAGGTCATAAAAAGACAGAAGATGTTAAGTAGAGTCACTAAATATATGAAAAAAAATGCAACCTTTAGAGAGGAAAAATGTAATATCTGAAATGAAAGAAACTTTGGGTTGAATTGATGGCAAATTAGACATTGCAGAAGAAAATATTGGTAAACGTGAAGGTACAACAATAGAAACTATGGTAGTCACCTAATCTGGTGTCAATTTAAGAATTAAGAATGTAGGGGTGGAGTTTAGGCTGTCAATCTGGAGATAGCCAATGAGATTTCCGTGTGGGCATGGCTTTCTCCTGAGAATTCTGGGAAATCTAGGACTTCCTCCTTGGAGGCAGAAGATCTCTCTCACTCTCTCTCTCTCTCTCTCTCTCTCTCTCTCTCTCTCTCCTACTCCCTGGGAGACACTGCAGAAGACAAGACAAGCCACATGGACATAACCAGACCTCAGAAGCCAGAGAAGCCACAGAGAGACCCCTACCAGCACTGAGATGCTTATAACGCCACTGGACCCAAAGACTTTCTACCCACTGGCATTTGGCTTCATTGAATTGTTTCGTGAGTCTGAAGAGGACTTTATAGATTGGTATCGGACATATGGGCTAATATCAGACTTATGGCCTTGGACTGGACTGCGTTGGGATGTTTTCTCAATGTTCAATATATATAAACTTCTTGTACATAAACCTTTCATATATATATATATGTTTATGAATTTGTTTCTCTACTCTACCCAGACTAACACAGAAACTATTTTAACAAAATACAGAAAGAAAAAGACTAAACATGAGAGAATAGTATCAGCAAGCTGTGGGACTTTAAGCAGCTTAATATGAATGTGTGTGTGTGTGAGTGTGTGTGTGTGTGTGTGAGTGAGTGAGAGAGAGAGAGAGAGAGAGAGAGAGAGAGAGAGAGAGAGAGAGGGATAGAAAAAATATTTGGGGAAGCAATGGTTGAACATTAGAACATTTTCCAAATTTAATTAAAAGTATAAATTCATAGGTTCAAGAATCTCAATGAAAACCAAGCACAAGAGGGGGTAGTGGGGAGGGAGGGGGGAAAATGAGGAGCTGATACCAAGGGCTTAAGTGGAGAACAAATGTTTTGAGAATGATGAGGGCAACGAATGTACAAATGTGCTTTACACAATTGGTGTAGGTGTGGATTGTGATAAGAGTTGTTTGAGCCCCCAATAAAATGATTTAAAAAACAAAAGAAGACCAAGTACAAAAAAAACAATAATTCTAAACAAAGGCACATCACAGTCAAATTGATTTAACGTAGCAGTGATAAAAAGCAAACATTTAAAACCGAGACAAAAAGTCAAGTTGTAATCAGATAAACAAAGGTAAAAATGATAACAGATTTCTTCTAAAAACAATGCAAGTGAGAAGAAAGTGGAGGATTTGACCTTAAAAGTACTATCTTCTGTAAACTAGGGATAGCAATGTAGGGAGTTGTAGGAGCTACTTAGAATCATACATAGAGGCATTGCTCAATAAATCAAAACTGTTAATGCTTTTATTATCTCAACTATCATATAATATGTATTTTTTCAATTTTATATTCTCAAGTACTTAACTATTTTAGAATAGCTTCCATATCTGTAAAGAGCTTGAAATAAAGTAACAATACATCATTTCTAACCATTCTAAGACCAGTGGGTTTATTTTCTTTATTCAGTATATTAAAATTATTTTTTTTAATTTAGAGGAAATTTATGAATAAAAATAATCACTTTCAAGTGTACATTTTAGTGCCATCCAGTACATTCACAACGGTGTACAATCACCACCTCTAGCTACTTCCAAAACTGATGTCTCCAAATGGAAACCTTGTGATTATTAAGCATGCAATCCTCTTTCTCTACATCCCCAAACTCCTGGCAACCAGTAATCTGTTTTGTCTCCTTGGATTTATCTATTCTGGATATTTTATATAAATGGAAGCATACAATATATGACCTTTTATACCCGGCTCCTTTCATTAACATAGTGTTTTCTAGGTTCATCTATAATGTCACAAAGTCAGTTCTTCATTTCTTTTGGTGGTTGAACACTATTCTATTGTATGGATATACTGCTATTTGGCTATCTATTGTCCAGCTAATAGACATTTGGGTTGTTTCCAACTTGGGGGTATCATGAAGAGTACTGCTATGAACATCTGTTTACAAGTATTTGAGTATCTACTTTTGGGATATATATATGGAAGGTTGGGCCATAAGTCCTAAAATTTTTAAATTGAAAATTAGCTTCTGAATTTCAGTAGTAAACCTGAAGTATCCCTCCACAAAATGTGTGTGTGTGTGTGTGTGTGTGTGTGTGTGTGTGTACCCATGTCCTCTGGCAAAAGCCAGACCTCTTATAGGAAGGTATGGTTCACCACCCAGAACCAGTCTGCCATGCTGCTTACCTCCATGTTTCTGCAGAAGGTGGCATTGATGCCAAACAGGATCTGGCACTGCTCATTGGCGCTATAGTGCATGCCTGGCAGCTTGTGAGGGAGGCGAACCGAGTGCTGACTCCTGCGGTCTGTGACCAGCAAACAGGTGCTGACTTTTGACCTGAAATAACCAAGAGGCAATTCAACTTGGAAATGTACTGTCCAGGTTTTCCTTCAGTCACTGAGAATGGATACACTTCCAAATCATTTATGGGAAGGAGACCAAGACAGCAAGTCCATGGACTGTGCTTATAGAGATTGCAACTATATGTCCACATGTCAGGGAGCAGGATTTTGCTCTGAAGATGCCAGGAGCATGGGCACCTAAGCAGTCTGGGAATAAATAAGACCCGTGAGCTTAGCGTACTTTGGCTGAAAGAGTTTGAGAAATTTCTTTGATGACAATACCTTTGAAATAGGTTGTTATGACATTTTCTAGAACATGGCTTTAAGCAAAAGTTACTCTGGATAAAGAAAGCACACGTTAAGGTTACTTGATTCCGTTTTAAATAAAAGTAAAGTGCTTAGTTCCAAATCGGCATCAGTTTCTCTCCTTGTGTCTGTGGGCCTTAACACCCTGGCAAACCAGGGTTTGCCTCCAACTACACTACCTACCACCACAAAAACTGACCTAATACACATTCTGCAAAGGATTTGACCAAGATGGGAACGCTTAATTACAATTAGGAAAACCCTCTTAGAACTTAGCTAAGGAGCCCAAGAATATGGCTCTATTTGGAGGTTAGGGCATTTTTATTTTTTTTCAAATCTTACAGCAAGACTCAAAACTCCAAACTCACTGCCATCAAGTTGATGCCAGCTCAGAGCGACAGTACAGGACAGGGTAGAGCTGTCTCTACGGGTTTCTGAGATTGTAATTCTTTATAAGTAGAAAGCTCATCTTTCTCCTGCAGGGCAATTGGTAGGTCCACACTTGTGACATTGCAGATAGCAGTCCAATGCATAACCAGATTGCCACCAGGGCTCCTGCTAAATCCAGACAGAAGATGGTAAAAACAAAACGCAGCCCAGCCCCTTGCCAATAATCTCTAAGAAAGGAGTCGTTGCAAGCACACATGTGCTGACACGGACCACATTGTGTGATCAGAGGCAGGGCAATCACCTAGGGGTGGATATGAAAAAGTCCATTGTCCATTCTGGACAAAACAAAACCATGTCTAGTAACGAACAAGCTTTTATTAAGCTTCTGTAATAACAAATACTCAGTAGGAAATAGTCTATAGTAAAATAAATGAGTCTAATTTTAAGCCTGTCTATAATTTAAACAATTTTCTCATCTACAGTATAATATCAGTGAAAACATAATCTTGATGAGAACAGATGTTTTTACTACTTCATCTGAATCCTTGGGATACTTTGTTCAATCATAGTAGATGTATATTATAATAAAACACTTGTCATTTCAATATTCCTCACGTGACAATGACGTTGTGTTCAACATGTTGTGCAACCAGCATCACTATATGTTCCAAAATTATACTATCACCTCAACAAGCTCAGTGTCCCCTTAGCAATGAGTTCTCCTCCCCCAACAGATCTGTGATATCCATTAATAAAACTTGGGTCTCTACATACTTGCCTATTCCAAATACTTCATATAATGTGGACATAAAACATTTGCCTTAAGGTATCTGACTTATTCCACCCATCATAATGCCTCTAACATTCATCCATATTATAACATGTATCAATACTTCATTTATCCTTATGGCTGAGTAACACACCAGGGTCTGGAACACATGTCAAATAACAAGTACAACCCTGAGGCACTGACATTAAGAGACACATGTTTTGGGTACAGAGTCTGTATGACAAAGGTCTGAAATCAAAAGACCAATCCCTTTACAAGTATTTGAGAAGAATGGTATGACTCACTGACCTTCTGGAAAGGAAATGGAAGTGAGACAGACACATTAATTCCCCAAACGTGAGAAGTGAGCAAATCTTCCTCCCCAGAAAATGTACTTCCTATCCAGAAACTTGCCTATAATAACCAGGAAATTCTGTTGCTCCAGGGATGCCGTGGAGGTGATGACCACTCACAGCCAAAACGCTGCAGAGAAAGGGAATGAGGTTCCTTTCAGGGCACCATCCGTACTTTAGTATTTCAATCAGTCAATGAGCATTTATGCTGACCAGTTAAGTGGTCACTGTCATACGTAGGAGTAAGGTCCTGTTACAGGAGAGTCCATATCGGTTCACTCATCGAGCCAGCTGAGAAGGCTTGAAAGAGAGTGCTGTTTTGGGTATGGATGTGTTTGAAGCACTTGCTAGGCTGGTGCGGTCCACAGAACCATTTACTGACTTACTTGAGGAAGTCGTCCAGGTCGTCTCTACTGCAGGAGGACCAGGAGAGATCACTGGGGTTGCGGCCTTTCACCCACTCTCCTGACATGATGTGGGACTTCCCAGCGCAGGACGAGTGGTCATCGTCATGGTTCATCCCCAGACTGTGGTGGGAGGAGGGAAGGGTGACACTAAATCCACAGGCTTCTCATTTCCAATTCCAATTTATGATTAAACTAATCATAAATACAAACATTTATGTAAGGTGATAACTAGTTTTTACAGACCATTGATTTATAGAATATAGAGCAAAGATTTACTTACTTTGTAAATAAAGATTGAGAGCACCTAATAGACAATAGTAATAGTTGCTAAATAAATAATAAATGAACAAGTAAAGCTATGAATAGTATGGTTCTTCAACTCTAAACATTTGATTACTTACTTTCCTACATTAAAATTTCCCAATGTTAATGATCAAAGTGTTTTGTGTGTCATACAGCTAAGCCACCATGCAAGGGGCTTTGGAGAACCAGCTAAGGCTTTGATCAATAAAATATCACAAATTGTGGCTTTTCTGTATTTCCTATCACTATGTTTGATTCCACCGAGATTATAGCTATTGCCCTAAAAGTTGTTCCTGGAGCCTACCAAGATGCCTGTTAGGCATGGGAGTGGGGAGTGGTCAAACAGTCTGAAGTGAACAATATTACTTGTACACAGGTGGCCCTGGAGGAAGCTGAGAGGTAGAACACACCGTACCAAATGAATCCAAGTTTGCTGAGCCATCATGCCTACAGCAAAGACATAGCATGAATAAAAATGCTACCTTCTGTCAAACAATTCCAGGGAAAAAGACTTGTGCTCTTAAAAAATTCATTCAAAAATATTTATTAGATGTTTCCCAAGTGCCAGATAATGGGTGAAAAGACACAATCCCTGACCTCAAACTCTGGAAAACTTGGAAAAGGAGACAGATAAGAGGAAATAATAATTAAAAATGAACAAAAACAGGTAATAAATGCTTCTCTGGAGCCACATTATCCAAGTTTTCCTCATGTCTCTTGATTCTTCACCAATTCCTCTGCCTAATGCTTGAAGGCCAGAGTCTTACAGAGAAAGGCTCATGTGTCTTTCCTGCACACGTTCCATGTTCCAGGTACACCTGTGTTCTCCCTACAGAAAGGCTTCCTTAACTGACCTGGACGTGGATTAGCAACTTTGTTCATGATCTTGTAAATCACTTTGCCAGTGCTACATGCCCCAATCTGGGCTATCAGGACCCTCTATAGTCTCATCCATCCATTCTCCTCCCCGAAATTGAGTGAATATTTAGTCAACTTTTGAGTTGATTTCAAACCCTCGAAGCCCTATGGCACAGAGTATAATGGCTCTATAGGACTTCCCATACTGCTACACATCTTTATGGAAGAGACTGACTCTTCTTTCCCTACAGAACAGCTCTTGGGATTGAACTGATAATCTTTCAAGCTAACTGCTTAACTTACTGTCACCAGCGTACACTTACCAACGATTAATTATTAGTTATTCTCAAACTAATATTAAGCAATGATGTCTATTATATCAATTTATAAGGATAGTTATGTGTTATATAATCCAAAGAAATATGAGTAGAAATTATAAGTAATTTTTAGGGAAATAAATTTAGCTAGTAGCTAAAATAGTTTCCTGTCAATTTGGTGTAGACGAGATAACTAAAAAGGAATGGGAACAATAAAAATCTGCTTTACAAAGATATTTTATACTCCTGTGCTAATGTAAAGAAAATTACATGAAAATTCAGACTTATTGGTGTAGACTGTGTGATGTACAGTTCCCACCAACACACACCCAAACACAAAAATGGCGTTCACTTCATATAAACTGTTTTTCAAAAACATAATACTTTAAGTTAAAACAAAATGGTGAAAACATCCAAGTGCAACATCTTTATTTTTCTACTACATCGATTCTTTTTTGTCAATTTACCGCGTACTATCATGTCAGAAATGAGCTTTTGTAGTACTTCTTAGGGATGATAGTTACCACATTCTCCCTTGGTTCAGACCATTTGACCAAACTCCAGGTTCTCGCTACCAGACTTTCTTTCCTATAGGCTTTTCCAACTCAAGAATTGGATGGCGATGGGAAGAAGAGATTGAATGAAAACAGTGAGTAAGAGCAGAAAACTGTCCAGCACAACTCGGACATTTTGAATGACTGCAAGCAGCATTCTAGGGACAGCAGGAACAAGATAGTTAATTCTGCTTGCTCAGGATTGCACCACCACCACACCAGTAACAGGAAACCGGAAAGTGGTGGCCTCTCCCTGGCATGCATAGTCTCCCAGTGATTCTCCATATCCCCATTCTCTACCCTGACTGATAGTACTGTACACCTCTGTTAAAAAATCTTTATTCTTACTCTTCCCTTCTTCCCTGCTACCACTGTTTTCTTTTTGTGTTTGTCTGGGTTGACTAGAGAAACAAATTCATAGACACTCATATGCCTGTAAGAAAGAACTTTATATCAAACAGCAACTGTACATTTAGGAAACATCCCAGCCCAGTCCAGGTTAAGTTCATAAATCTGATATTAGCCCAAATGTCCGTTACTAGTTTATAAATTCTTTTTCTTTTTTTTTTTTAATCAATTTATTGGGGCTCATACAATTCGTCACAATACATAGATCAATTGTGTAAAGCACAT